AGAGAAATAGCAGTGAGTGTTTCCTAGCAGCATTTTATTCCATTTTATGTCTGAGTAATTCCGTTCACTCCACTGGACTTCTGATTTGTGTGAGTGAAGATGAGAAGGCCAGTTGTGTCCCTGGTAAAGTTGCAGCATTTTGAGGGAGTTAAAATGCTATGTGTTTTATCCCATACTTGTGCTTTTTTATAATTTAAGCATATTCCCCTAATATAAAGTAATCAACATTTATCAGATTATCTGCCTAGCACAGGAAAAGTTACTTTTTTTCAGGAATTAAATTTGTAATTGTTTCAATGATGGCTGAGGGCTCTTACCATTTGTTTAGGTGAATGAATAACAATTAGAATTTGATTTATAAAATAATATCTCCTTCCCTTCATGAAAGATGAAAAATAGTTTCTTTGATGACAGTCTTGGTAAGCTCTTTCCATTTAGGGTACCTTCCAGGTTTTTAGGTGTCATTTTTCACCTCAATGGTTGTTTGTTTTTCATAATAGAAATAGTTTCACCAAGTAATATTCGAAACTTTCTGAAATTATAGGGTGCTATCTTCTTCAACTATCTTTGCAATTATGATACGGAAATATTGCATCAGCAACTTTCTAAACATAGTATGCAGTGGTGACACGAGTTAATTGAACAGTTAGGAGATAATGCAGTATCATTGACACGATTTACTATGTAATTACCATTGTTTCCAGTGGAGTTATCATGTAGCTACCTCCTAATATCATATGTTATTTTGTGATAACTGTGAAATTTACTTATCATCCTGTTTTGAGAGACTCTGTTGGTTGTAGACCAAACCTTCTCCACAAGAGCTGTGTAATAGTGACCTGCCCACCAGCTTTGGAGTGTGACAATTAAATCACAGGTCTCCCAGTAAAGCTTTGGAAGAATATATTTCTAAATTCATTCAGAGTCCTGAATGGCTTAACTTCTTAATAGTCTTTCTTGCTGCAAGCATCTGTCTGTTTGAATGAGTTTGGCAGTGTTTCTACAACCTAAGAAGAAATGCTGTATAATTCAGCAAAACATTTCAAATATCTTGCTTTTAACAATAATATTTTTAAAAAATTGTGCTATGGGGAACAAAAATGTTTATTTTTTAATAGCTTACTTTATCCACCTGACGTTTTTGTTGTTTTGTTTTTTTTTAATTTCATGATGTGATCTGAGAATTTACATTCGTTACCAGGCAGTGATCTGGTGATTTCATGATTTTTGGAAGCTTCCAAAACAATGGGAAATTCAGCAAAAACTTGAAGAACCATGGCTGTCCTTGTTAATTTAAGTAGAAAGTAATAAGAAATAAGAAAACAGAAGTAAGCATTCTGCTTAATTTTATTTTTTTTCTTTTTTCTTCTTTTTTTTTGGTGAAAATCTCTCTCCAGATGAGAACTTCAATAAATTGTTCAAAATCTATGGTTTTTCTTCTCACTTTTTACATTACAACTGAAACTTAAGGTGACAACTAATTCAGGTTCCGTAGTTTCCTCCAGTATTTTGACAAGTATTTACATAAACTTATATCCTGTGCTTATACATCTAAAAACTATCTTGAAACTGTCAGTTTTGTTATAATTAGGCTTGTCTCAAGGTTTTAATTATTTTTGGTTAGAATTAAATGTGCTGCATTTCAATGTAAATTATTAACTTTTCATTTTATTTTCCTTTTAGAGTTTTTCTTGTTCACATTATGTCTCTTTTTTCTCATTGACTCAGCAAATGCACTAACATTAACAGTCAAAACAAACCATTTGAGCTGTTAAACACATTGTATGTAGGAGTAGCAGAGTAACCTGAGGGCTCCGGTAAATTCATCCGTCATTTCTGGAAACAAGCATTTTTGTTTGTTTTCATGAAATAAATTAAACTGACTGCTTATGTCTGAGTTTAACTTTTGTACTAGAGGACAAAAAAAAAATATATATATAAGTAGTAATGAGGGGGTACTTAAGAATACTGTACTCTGATATTTTCTCTGTTATCTTTTGATGTGGCAACTTAGTTTCATGTACATTTAATTCTACTAAAAGAGACATTTAGTTCTACTGAAAACACATTGGTTATACCAATTATCAGCAGATTTTGACTACAAAAATTTTCTCTCTTATTCTACATAAAATAGAAGGAAATATTTTTTATATTCTATTAGATACATCAGTATGGAAGTGTTGTGGAATTTTGTCTATGTCTATAAATACTACTGGAAGTTCCCTCTTCTGAGTGCTCTCTCGTACCCTGCCCTGGTGCTCATACACAATTGCCTGCTGGAGCATTCAGCAGTTTGCTGAATGAACAGTAAATCAGCTGAGGTTAATAGAAGGGTAATATTACAAACAAGCAAACAAGCAAACCAAACAGAAACCCACAAAACAGAACAAACAAAAAAAACCCACCAACAACTAAAGCCAAACCAAAACTAGGAACAAGAACACATGGGCAAGAGTACTAAGCATCAGAAGAAAGTCAGTGGCACTTCATAGTGGGTAAGGGAAAAATATTTTAGCAGTTCTGCACTACCACATTAACCTTTCCTTTCTGTGTATATTAGGTAAGAAAAAGCTTTGAGGAGACTGTAGTGCTTTTCTTCCAAAGTGCAGGATTTTCTCTCCACATCAGTTTTAGATGGTATCTGTGATCAAAGGGACATACACTGTTCATATGCTTCCTCTGTACTTCAGAACGAGGGGTGACCTGGAGGGTGTATAAGTGCCCTTGTGTGGTTGCCTGGAAACTTTGGCCCACACAAGTGTCAACTTTCTTTCATGGTTATAAAGGAAGACTGAGTCTCACAGAGGGCTTTAGTCTTGGAGAAAAAAGGTCCTTGTGTGTTTTAAAACAAGTGTCTCACCAGGAGATAATAGTAGAGCAGTGGGTTATAAATGATGTATTTTGTTCACTTCGCCTTGATAATGGCACAAGGGAAAAAAAGTTCATCGCTCTCTTATCAAAATACTGTGACATTTCTCCTTCAACTGTAAAATTTCCTATCACATTCCTCTGCTGCAATAGCAACTAAATTTACTCAATTGTAGAGACTACATAACCTCTCATCAAAAGGTGTCTTTTTTATTATTTCTTTTCTTCATGCTTATACTTCAGGAGAAGCACCAAGGTTGCTGAAATCACTTTTTACAGTGAAGAAAATTTGCTTTTAAGGAGCTTATACATTAGCTACTGACTGCTATGCAATACCGTGCAGGCTCGTCTTCTATCTTGGCCAAAGACAGCGTGACATTTTCTGTTGTCATGTCTTTTTACACTGATCACATTTGTTCTTGAAGATGTATTTCAAACGCATTTAAAAATGAAGGTGACTAAACACTGAAGACCAGAAACACTGCAAAACGGTGGCACTTCTCTTGAGTGACAACTTACTTCCAGTTAGTACAGACTGCTGTTTGACACAAGAGTATTCCTAAATGCTTGCTCAAAGCCAGCTGAAGTAAATGGGAAGTGATATCAGTGGGTTTTGGATAAGTTATGCTTTTGTCTAATTCAGAGGAGCAGTATGGTGCTATGTGTAGTAGGCTATATTTCAGCTGCAGAAGTTGGTGTAGAATCACTTACAAAATTATGAAAAACTTCTGCCACAGGAGACTGTTCTGTTTCTGTGGGTGTAATGGCAGACATCATAAAGTGTATAAAAAGTATATCCAAAGTATATGTCCATTTATTTTTTGTCAGGTATTAGTATAATGATATTAAAAAATCAGTAGTGAAATATGCAGCTTTGTGAACCAGATTCCCATAATTTAAGTTCAACTATGCAGCTTTAACTCAATATTTTGCCCACATCAATTTTTAATATGGATATATCAAAGAATATTACAGAACTGCAGCATATTGCTATAAGTGACTGAAGTGTTAACAAAAGTGAATACTGTTGCTAAAATGCAGGGGTAAATCTCAAAACAGAAACACATCTAAGAGAAAAGAAAGCTTAGTGTGCATGTGGAGGGTAGCCTTGAGTCAAGACTGCAGGCAGAAAGATACTTCTTTTCTTCAAACAGAGCAAATATTGAAGAACAGCTATAATGCCAATATAATGATTGACTCCTTACAATGGATCCTGCTCAGAGTTACAATGTTCTTCCAATTAATCTCCAGAGACATCTAGAGGATGGGTGACATTCTGTGCAGGACTTGGGGCTGCCTCCTTCAATAACAGACTTCTAATAATGAATAAAAAGCCCACACATTAATAATGTGCAACTACCCCAATACCAAATGATGATAAGGATAAAATCCTATGTATGTGTAACTGTGTTCTGTGCCTGGCATGCAAATGTTCTATTTCAAGCAATTATGACCTCTCTTATATTTCAGAGAAGAGTATGCTACTGACTGGATTATCATTTGGAAGAAATTAAAACTGGAATAATACAGGGATATGAATCTTTTATGCTATAGGTGATGACTGAGTGTGAAATTGGGGATAAGTGGAAGTTCATTGATGTTACATACTTCTCTTTCATACTCACGTGGTAATCTGTTGGAAGGTATATTGTCTTTAATCACAGTCTCTTGAAACACAAGCTCATGGATGAGCTGTTTCTGAGATGCATGACATTATTTTTCAAGAGAAGACATAACCATCTGTTGCTATTTAGAAACTGCAAAGAATATTTTTATAAAAACTGCCCTTTTATTAACATTGCAGCTCAAGAAAAGCTCTTGGTTCAAAATTTGATGTTGAAACAGTGAGATTACATAGTAATTGAATTTTTATTTGCATTGGAATGGTCAGTGAAAACATTCAGCGTACCCAAGAAATCCCCCATCTCTTTGTACAAGCAGTCTTTGTTTTAAAGGACAAGGGTCAGTGGGGCAGTGTGTTCTCATATTAATCAATAAGTTTATGGTTTATGTATTAACCTACAAATGCATGCTGAGATCAGCTCAGAATTTTGTACACATGGCATCATGCTAAGTTAAAAAAATGTAACAAAGACAAGAGGCTGGCCTTAACTGTACTGGTTTACTGGCAGTGCTACAATGCAACACAAAAATCTACAGGTCATTTTTTGCCTTGAAAATAATTTTTTAAAGTCTTGAAATTAATTTAAACTTACTGAAAATTGGGCAAACTAACTCAGATACTACAGTTTCAACATTTGTTTGCTATCTCTAGCTTAGCTAGTGTGAGGTGCTGGGAAATGAGGCAGGAATCCAAATAATCGTATTCTGGAAGAGTAAAAATGTGAATCTGAAATGCAAAAGCATTTGTGGTGCTTTCTAAAGGCATGATGTAAACAACAAATGGGAAAACTGTACCATCAAAATTCAGACACTGAGGTAGGTGTAGCAGCCCCATACTCTCACTGTGGTACATTTATTGGGGATATTTGATTCCTGCTACCAGAATGTTACAGAAACAGGGACTAAATTTAAGTAACTCTCACACTTGTGACAAGTCAGTAGCCTTAAACATGGTTTGAGGCTTTGGCAGAAAATCCAAAATTTGTAATACAATGGAGAGTGTATCAGAATAACATTGTCTTAGCATAGGAGTGTATAGTTGAATGAGAAGAGGAAAGCAGATGTCACCCAGAGGTGAGAGGTACTTTTGCACCTTTTCATGGACAGATAGGCCTACACAGAGTAGATGTATTTGATCAGTATTTTGATTGATTGCATTTGGTGGTATTTTTTTCATGTGGTTAAGATAAAAAAAAAAAAAAAAAAAAAAATTTGCTTGATTGCATTTGGTGGTGTTATTTTTTTCATGTGGTTAAGATATAAAAAAAAAAAATAAAAAATTTTCTGACCTGGATCTGGTGAGTCTACCACATATTCTTACCAGGATAGCTGGGAACAAGATCCATTTGGAATTGTGAGCTGTAGGAATCCTTTTGCTAATCTTTTGACCAGTCTGACCTGGATCTGGTGAGTCTACCACATATTCTTACCAGGACAGCTGGGAACAAGATCCATTTGGAATTGTGAGCTGTAGGAATCCTTTTGCTAATCTTTTGAAGACTATAGAGACTTCACTTGTTTGGGAGTCCAACAAAAAATGGCAACTTAAAAGTAGAATTTGTTTTACTAGTTGTCCCAAGAATATGAAAATATGAGGTCTTTAAAAAAACATTTTTTGCTTTCATACAAAGGTTTTGAATAGCTTCTTTGGTGTGTTTTACAAAAATTATTTGGTTTTAACACTTAAATAATTTGTTTTCAGTAGTCTGTAAAGAGTGTACAATGGCTACAGACTATACAAAGGACACTTTTATGATGAAGAGATGAAAGGAAAGGGGATGAAAAATCTTGCAAGGGATTTTTTTTTTTTTTTGCTGAGAGCACTACAAAATTAATGACTGAATTCTAAAAAATATAGAAAATTAAAAAATACATATGTTATCTAGGATCTTTAGATTTTAGTCAAATATTGATTAAATGGTACACGAAGTTTTATTCTACAGATGCATCCAGTTTAAATGCTTGGACATGAGTGATGCCAGACAGTCCAAATGTGGTTAGGTGCTGTACATACATAACATTCTCTAAATTACAGTTTATTGAAAGTGTTACTGACAAGCAAGTTGGGTGTTGCCAGAATGGAGGGACATCTGCAAGACTGGGGTAAATGCATATGAATGAAAAAGTTGGAAAGAATTGCAAATGTCTTTGAGACAGAAGTCATGCAAAGATAAATAGAAAGAATGACTGTAAAAGGGAAAGTGAACTTAGGAAAAACATAAAATAATCCACCTAGAGAACGTTGAAAGCATATGTTGAGAAGTTAAACATGCATTTGTTGTTTGATTTTGAGATGATGTTTGTTGCTACTTGAGCTGGATAAAATTTTATTAGAATTTTTTGATCTGTTTGCTGTCAAGTGGTCATGATTGCTGAATTCCATTTTACCTACATATTACAGCATGAAATTATAATACATTAGATGAAAGGAACAAAAATAAGATCAAAAAAAGATTTTATATTGGATTTCCATGCAGTATGTTGATATGCTGAATGCAAGGTCCATGATACTCTTTGGGTAATTACAATAACACTTAATTTTAGGGTTTTCTTTTACTGCGGAAACCAAGAGAAAGGTCTGAGGATGTGAGGCTTAAGATGAATGAGAAAGAAGAGGAAAACCAAAAGACCCTTGTGAACAAGGATTGATGCTTTCTGTAGTGGGAATGAACCTTTTGGTTTATTGTGTAAAGGGAAGTTTTGTCCTTGTAGTGCTATGGAGGTTTGATAACCAGAGGTGTGTTAGGTTGATAGAAAACAAAACATTAGACAAGGTAAAAAGATAAGGAATCACTGAAGGAAATGGACACACAAAGCTTTTACTCCTACATTGCCTGTGTTCACACACTCTTGTCTACCCACATGCTCCCAGGGATGAGGAGGGAAAAGGATACTGGGACCCCAAAATAGGTGCTCCTTTTTTTTCCTCCTGCACTTTCATTCATATGTAACACAAAATATGAAGCTGAGGCAGGGGTAAATAGCCCATATAACCCTTGTCTTCTCCACACTTCTGGCCCATCTTCTCCCAATTGTCTTTCAAGTAGATAAGATAATTTACAACTTAATTATTTTCTCTAATTAATATGTGCAGCACAGGAGAACGAAAATCACTTAGTATGGAAAAATTATGGTTTGTTTGGATATGCGAAAGTGCTACAGTGAATTAGCAAGTTCCATACATATAACTTCCGTCCATTAGTGTGCTTTAGATTGTGAATTCAGAGGAATTTGACTCAGTCCTTTGACCGTGTTCATTTAGTCAGCCACTGTATTCCCTTCTACAAGTTATAAGCCTCAAGCCCAGCACACATCTGCATTTAGTGCCTTTAGCAAGGAGATTTAAAGCCTAAAAAATATCATTATGTACAAGAGGCATGCAGGTTGGGTGAGATAAAATAATTGGTAGCAACATTTCTCCATTGGTGAGCAAAGGCCAACACAGCAGTTTAAACCCCAGAGCCCCTGGGCAGAACCCTAGAAAATGTTCTGTTATTAGCAATGCCTTTTGGTAGGTGAATAAATGAACTCCTGAATGGTCTTGGTGTAACTGTTGCGAGTGTAAACATATGTGAAAGGAGAGAAAGCAATCATACAGAAACCATGATGACTGGAATTTGTTGTCATTTCTTCTTTTAAAATACTTCCACACATTGAATGCTACTTTCTTCCATGGTAGAGTGGATCACAGGAAATGCATTATTGATTATGTTATTGTAAATTGTAAATATTGTAAATGTTATTTCAGGTGAGAGATATTTTGTATTATTACTTGTGCAGAGTTCAACAGTCGTGAGATAAAAGGCCAAATGGGAATTTCACTTGATGGAACACATTAGATACTCTTCTGTTGTGGGCTGCCAGTAGTGCAGCAGAAATGCCAGAAGGAGAGGTATTAGTTAGAAAATTCAGAGCAACTGCAGCCTACATTTCTGGAACTGGACAACTTTAATCAGGTAATAATTTGTCTATATGTCTATGCACAGTGTCAGCATCGTGGGGTTGAATGCTGGTGATGTGGCTTTCTTCCAGATGGGAATTCATCTTTTTCCCTTCTTCTGTTTCACAGACCTGGTGCAAGAGAAGGGCCAAGCCTTCAAAAGCAGGTGTTGGAGGCTTTCAGGTATGTGATGTCCAATGCCTGAATCACAAAGCAAATGTTGTGACAGGGACACTTCAAATGTTTGTGCTGTCTCTAAAATTCCCATCACCTTTAATATTGCACTTCATTATAAATGGAGATTTTTAAAAAATATCTTTTCTACTCCTGCAAACACTTTTACAATTCTCTTCTGTAAAAACCAAACCAAACCAAACCAAACCAAACCAAAACAAAAAAAAAAAAAAAAAAGAAGAGAGGAACAAAGGGATAAGAACAGCTATAGGTAGTTACTCTCATCTTTTACATGCTTTTGTATCATTAAAAGGAGTATGATACAGCAACTGGAAGATTATGACTTCTCTTAGTTTCAAGCAGATAGTTCCAGGAAAGTGAACAGAGACATGGTATACTGAGTCTAATTTATCATACTGTTTTTCCACCTGTGAAGCCTGAAACAGTGAAGTGTTTAGGTTGAAATACTGATCAAATTTGCTGTTTTCTAGAGGATGGCTTTTAGGTTTTGTGGAATAGAGTAAGAATGAAAGAGCTGTTAAGCTGTCAGTAGCTTTTAGCTGTTGGCATACGGAACTCCTGGAGAAAATGAAAACAAATCAACCAGTTTTTCTGCACAAAACTTACAAGCACTTTACTCCAGAAAACTGTATTTAAAAAGCTACAATAGTATCCTAATTTGGACAAACATTTTATAGTTATGAAGTAATTTCAGTGATCTGAAAATCAAAATGTACTTTCAAAAATTTTATTTTTGTAACTTTGAAATGTTCTAGTGTAGTGAATTTTTATGTGTGTTTGAAATTGCCATTCATTTCCTCTATGATTTTTTTCCAGAGTCCACAATTTATCACCCTATCATATTCCAGAGAAAATCACTGCAGAGTTGCACATTCGTCATGGCTTTGTGTTTTTTTAGAAGAAGAACAGTAACTGTAAAAACTTGCTCTTGCATATTCAAAAATGTCTTTGAAAACATTTGTGCAAAGAAGGAAGTAACTGCAGAGAGTCATTTCAGACACTTCAGTTTTCAGTAGAAATGCATAAACTGCTGAGAGGGGGCTGAACTGGTGGTAGGGTGAACATTCTTTAGAAACAGTACAAAATTACACTGAACTCACATGTTGAACATGCAGGGCCTAGCTGCAGAAACCTGCTGAGGTCAATTAAAATCTTGATATTAATTTTCATAGGTTTCAGATTAACCTCATCTTTATTTTGTGGAATTACATTATGATGGATTTATTTTATCCTCAGGCTTACATGCTTCTGTCTTCACACTTATTGTTAAATCTTCCAATAATGCTGGTTTTAATTTGGCATTCAAATTCTGTTCCTCCCTGTGAGAAATATGTGTATAATACAAATAAAAGCCAGGAAATGGTTATCTGAAGATGGTGTTCTAAAGAAGAAAAGGTTGTCTGAAGAAATGTTCTAAAATGCTGGCTTTTGTTTGATGGAAATATGTTTTAGTTTGACTTTAAACTATTTAAATAAACATTCTTTATTAAATAAAAAGTGGTTGGTGTGATAGTCTGTAATGTTTTTCTCAAATCATCCATCCTTGTTGATCTTTTTTCTGTTATGTCCACTACTGCTGATAATCTTGAATATTTCTGCATCTGCACTTCTAAATGCCAGACTCTTTTAGGCTCTGTCTCTGAGAAAATACTAATTAGTCTTCTCTGTGGCACATGATTATAATGTATTAGTTTATCCTTGTAATGCATTGGTATAGTTTTAATATTACATAAAATGTGACTAGATTCCAGCATTGGTGAAGCTGCATCTGTAAAGCTACACAGTCCTAAAAACTTGTGAAACTAATTTTTTTTTTCATTTCCCCATTTCATGCACAGTGTAATGAAATGTATCAGTCTGAGGATAAATTATGGGTACAGATTTTTTCATAATATATCTGGCAAGATAGCTCTGAATCAAATGAATAAATCAAGACTGTTTTTAGCCCTCCAATTCTGTGTGCTTAGATGTCTGTGGCTGATGAAGAGCAGTGTGCCAGGAATCAGGATTCTCACTGTGCCATCTCCCAGTCGATGCAGTCTGTATCCCTTGAACACTAAAAGGAAAATCACAATGAACCAATCACTCTCTTTCAAGCTCTGCCTATACAGGTTGGTATTAAAGTGGCAGGAAAATGTGTGCCAAAAGTACACCATAGTACAGTACTGTCAAACTTGGAGTGAAGAGAGGTATGAGAGCAAAGCTCTAGCAAAAGGGAACCTTTGTGTTGGCCTCTCCAGTTCGAATTCTCCCCGTAAAGTCAGGAATGTGGACTGGCCAACTGCCCTGGGGGATAATTTAGACAATTTGGAAGACCTAATTCAAAATGTTTGTCACTGAGAATTGTCTGCTACTAGCATTGCAATATTGTTCTATACAATAATCGTCTGTTTAATCAGATTACAAAAGCAAACATTCACTGCCTGTGTACCTGTGTCCAGAGGAGTTTTTGTAGCCCATTCTTATGTGCATCTTTTCCGTCATTCAGATTGTCATGTTATTTTGTAACCATGGAGAAGCAGGGAGGGATGCCTGTTGGTCGAATTTAGATTTCTCCGGCTGAGTGCAAACCAATTTTTGAGAAAAATGAGAAAACATTTCTTAATGTAAATTGTACTGTCACTCCCTTATATCATCAGTGCAAAATGGATTTCTTTCCAGATCATCTGAACTGTATAATTAGCATATTGTTAAAGCATAGGTTTGGATGTGCAATATTGCATACATTTTCAGTGGCTCAAGATAAATGCAATTGCATCAAAGAAACTAATAATTGGTCGAAATAATAAAAGTTTGGTTTTTTTTTAAACTGAGGCATCTTATAACAACTTTACCATATTTTTCTCTAAAATTATTCTTTGCAATTTTTTTTAATCTATCTGTATTTTGAGTAGGAATGTTTGACGGGATGTGTAAATAAGTATTGCTTCTGAAATGGTATAGCCCTTCTGAATGGGATGACCCATTTTAGGAAGAGGATAGGATTTCAAGTCTGTCATCAGTTCCAGAAATATTGTGTGTGATTTTGGTGCTGTGCTCCCTATTGACTTAACCAACAATCTCTTTACCATAATTTTCTTATATTTCTCATATTTTCCTACTGTTTTGTTATACAAAGGTAGGGATTAATTTGATGTAAGTTGTCTGGAAGTCACAGTGTGCTTTTCATTGTTATTTTATGATGATTTATGTGCGTTAGACTTCAGAATTATCCATATGCTATATTGCCCAGTAACATTTAAAAAATACAATATGGTTGCTGAGTTTAATTCATTTATCTTCCTGGGTATTTGGAGCATGTATAAAATGTAACTTCTCCATCATGTCATAAAAAGTTATTGCACTCCTAGGATCATGAATTCAAGAAACATGACATAATAGACTGGCAAATATGGCCTTGTGTCTTCTGATGATGATCCAAATCCACCCACTTATCTTGATCTGCCTATATTGTTAACAACATGAGTTGTCATACAACTAATTTTTCATTTTAACTGTTCTTTATGTACAGTGCAGTGTAGAATTTACTTTTTATTGCCTTCGGAGGGAAGTATCATACCTCTCAGTGAAATAATGGTTTTGTCAGACACTGGTATCTTTATTGTGTAGTGCTTTTAAATTCTACACTATTTATACCAAGCTCTTGTGGTGTAGGACAGGTGAGATGTGATGCCTCTGTTTCTCCCTGAGAATACTTAAAGCTTTCTAGATATTGAAGTGTGCTGTTGATATTGTAGTTGTGTGATCTGTGTTGTAGCTTTCAAAGAGAATTATTTTGTTCTTCCAAGTACTCTATGAAAGTGCAAAATGTAAGCAGCCACTGGAAAGGACTGACAAACCTAAAACTTCTACTTGCAGTCTTCATATTGATTTGCCTTCTTCTTCCTACCATAATTATACTCATTCAAAAGTGCAGACATTGATTTGCTATTGGGGGTTTTGTTTCATTTGTGCATGACAAGGAGAAACAGCAATTTTATTGCATGCAGTGCTAGTGTTTAGTTGTCAGGAGTTGCTTAAATGGGTTATTGTGAAAAAAGTCAAAGAATGATGCCTGATTGTAAAACTCTTTGGGTCCAAGAAGGTAAAAACAGACAACACATTTGTCCTGGAATGGCACTGAGTAGTCAGCTACCACTCAAATTGAAATTATTTCAAATGTTGTAAATATTTCTAGGAAGATGACAAAAAATTAGAAAAGGTGTTCTCTGTGTACTTTGGTGACAGGTAAGAAGGGAATAAATGGTTTGCTTTCTCGTGTTACCTAGAATATTTTGGAACAACTGAACTCAGTATTTCAAAGGGTTTGCTATTTTGTTGAGTATATCTAAGAGATATAAAGCAATATAAAAATATTTTCTCACCTACCTAAATTATTTGATTTGAATAATTTCAAGAGTGAAAACATGCAATGTTTGAATTTAGATAAATTCCAAAATCAAGTTAAAGCAAAGACCTCAACCATCAAGTACTATATTTGAAACCAGTCTTTCTCTCTAGATATCTTTTCATGTTAGTCAGAGAGTACAGGATCTGAGCGTTGTTTAAGTGCTCCAAAAAGTGATATAGAGTACATAGCAGAAACATAACCCTCACTTTCAAGCCTACTTGCCAGAGACAAAAAAGATGCAGAATATTTGAAAAGGGAATTCCTTTCAGAATGCCAAGATTTGTTATTTTTTTTTTGCTGTGGGGATTACAGTATCACGTAGAAGCTGTTGGTTTCTACTGACACAGATTCTTTTGTCCTAGATACTATACTTTGTAGATAAATAAATACTTGTCTATCTAGCTATCTAGCTATCTATCATGCATTTATAAGTATCTGTTTAACATTTTTTATATGTACATCTATATATGCAAACACAGTTACAGTCCCCATTCTGGATTGGATGTTATTTAAAAAGACAGGCCAATAAAAGGTGGGAGAAAGGAATTATTATTACTTCCAGAGTTACAGAGAGATTATGAGTGATATTGGATGTCCCATAGGAGGTAGGCTTAGATCCAATTTACCAAGCCCAGATGTTTCAAAGATTAAAACTAAAATGTTTGCTGCAAGACTGGCCTTCTCTAAAAGTCTGTGCATCTTTATTTGATAGTTTCTTGGAACTGTTATTACGATATGCATGGGAAAGTACTTGCAAAGGCTTGAGCTACTTGTTTGTGCTTTGGTATTGGCTTTTGAATATCTGTCTCTCATTTAAGAAAGTAATTTCCAATATTTTTTAATTGGTTGTCAAGAGGAAAAGGCAGCATAAGCATACAAAAAGTACCATAACATATCATGGCTATATTTGGCACAGTGGAAGACTTTGTAAGCTGTGTGGGTTTATTTATACATATATTCTCACATATGAATAAGTTAAGGCACGAATGTTACAACCCAGCCACAAAGATTTTTTTTGTGTGTGTGAAGTTATCTTATTGGTTTAGAATTCTAACATACTTATAAATGTTTACAAAACATGTGAAAAAATTAAAACTTATTAGTTTTAGATCATAGTATGCAATTTTCCTCCAGGTATAGTATTATTTCCTCCAATACTTCCATGTTTATTCATTTACATCAGCATAAAGTTTACAAAATGGAGTTTTATTTTATTTAATTGTGACCTTAATGCTTTTGTAACTTGAAAGTTTCTAGTTTCAGCTTAGGCTTGACTGGCAGATGATCTCTGATCAGTGGGGGGAAGAAAGAAAGTTATAAATCAGTTGCATGAGGGAGAGCATATGGGCCTTACTGCTCATGTCTTTTCTAGTATTGCTTCTGGACATTGTTGGAGGCAGTCACTGGGAGCTTGGTTGTGACACAGTACTGAGAAGGAGGCTGGTGGCAGCTGAACTGCCTGAGGAAGCAATGTCCAGGGGACAGGAGATGGGTAGGAAGCTGGCTTTTATGGAGAGGCACTGGAATATAAAAAAAGAGTGGTCCCAGCTCCTGCGTGGAAGTTCAGGCTTTTTCAGATACTGAAAGGCTTGTTTTTTAAAACCACTAACTGCAGCACTGGTTATGTAAAAGTAGGATTTGTTTCTCTAGATATTCTATTCCTTTAAGCTAATGCATTGTGTATCCTGTTAATGTACTTTGTTAATTGAGATGAAAACATATGGGAAAAAAAACCTGGTAGAATCAAGCTGTCTTTCTCCAAGATTCCCATTACAGCAAATTGTCTGTGCCTATCAAAAAGGAATTGTTAAGTTGAAAAGTATTTATGTACATCAAAGGAATTGTCACAGTTAAAATAGAAATTTTCTCTTTGCATTGATGCATGTGTTTTTTTTAATGGGGAGGTAGACAGGAGCCAATATTTTTAGGGGAATTTTTATGCTATTACACATGATTTTATAAAGTGCTGATTTTATTATCAGGGGAATAAAGATTCCAAACTGCATCTTTTTCAATATGATCATTTCATACGTACTTATCCTTTTTAACTCTATA